ATATATTATATATATATATATATATATATATATATATATATATATATATATATATATATATATATATATATATATATATATATATATATATATATATATATATATATATATATATATATATATATATATATATATATATATATATATATATATATATATATATATATATATATATATATATATATATATATATATATATATATATATATATATATATATATATATATATATATATATATATATATATATATATATATATAAAACTTTTATTGATTTCACAAATGTTGACAACTGTGTATCAAAACATGAGATGACTTATATCGTGATTTTTTTCAAATCACATAGCTCAACCAACAGGATCTGTCAGCATCAAGACAAGAAACTCCATCTCTTGCCAGAAACAGGAGGAAGGGGAGAGCAGGAGCGCCACTATCTGGACAGACTTAACAGCACAGACCTGCACCTTCACACCAGACACAAACCACAGCAGAGGATCAGTAGATTAGTTTTGTAGAATTGCTTATTAATAAATCGTAACTAAATGGAAACTACAAAGTGTTTAATATTTGTTTTAAAGGTTCAGAACAGCACATATCAAACGCCTCTTATTATATCATTCATTATTTTTATTATTCCATTATTCATTGCATTGTTTTCTACATGTAATGAAAAATGCTGACAGAACATCCCACAAAGCACAGCATCCAACCTGTTATTGAAATTTTTTTATAAATATTTGCCAAGTGGTTTTTAACAGACCATGAAAAAAATTTCTGACCTATATTTTTAATATTAATTATTATTAAAAATGTATTATATAAATATACATTTGATTCCCCCTATAATGGTTTATACCAGTGGGTCTCAAACTTTTTTCATTAAGTACCACCTCATAAAACAAATTGTCTCTCCACGTACCACCAAAATGAGCAGTATTGAAATACAGTAGCATAGAAGGCCCAGTAAAGCAGCTACAACTCTGCACAGTTTAAAAAATGTGGCAAATTACCTCAGAAATATAGGCTATATGTCATATATGGCATATTATATACATCATTTTTGATAAATTTTGAAATGTGTGTAGCATGTACAAAACATTTCATTCTTCCGTGTATCACTTGAAGGAAGCCTGCGTACCACTAGTGGTACACGTACCACAGTTTGAGAACCACTGGTTTATACCATTGTGAATCAATGCAAGGAAAAATATCATTTAAGTCTGAAACTGGCAGTTCTAGAGCACCGATAGACATCTTAAGTATTTACAACAATAAACACATTCCTTATAACATTATTAACATTATATCTGCATGTAGCCTAAAAAAAGAAAAATTTGATGCACGATTTGTATAGTTTGATCCACAGTAACATCTAAAACAGTTTCTAAATATCCTTCAAAACACTAAAAACCTATATTTTATTAACAAATTAGATGTAATTTATATACATTGATCAATTTGATTCTCTGAAGCATGTATTAGCAAACTACTACCAAAAAAAATCTATGTATAATTCGCACTGTTTCTAGCGTTATAAATGTAGGCCTACCTTCACTTTTGATCCTTTGCAAAGCCAAGATTGAGTTGGTTGTTATCAACACTAGAGGGCAGAACGGCCGAAAAAAAAAAGAGTAATTACTTCACACATCAAATCTGTGTTTACACCTACACTCCATCACAGTTACACAAGTAAATATGAGAAGAGCAAAATCAATTTTCTAGCTGAATGTTTTATGGTAGTGTTGCAGATCTGCAAGTGAGAGTGTGGGCGAGTTTTAAATGCAGTGGGCGAATAAGCCTTGCACAGCAGCTGATGGTCCCTCCAGGTCAGTTACAAGTCTGTTATTCACTCAGTGTGAGCAACATGAGCTGATCCCAGATCTGTCCATAAAGCACGCGAAGAGGAAGAGTTCCGCATGGATATCTGTGGCTCTGACTTATCCAACATCTGATCTCTCCAATCCTCTCTCTCTTTCACACACACACACACACACACTTTTCTGTCGTTCTCACCATCCACCTGTTTCGCACTCAAACTGATGAGTTCCAGGCTCAGACATTTACTCAGAAACGCATTACTCTGGATCAAGAAAACGCATTATTTTATCAATGTGAACGCTTGAGGGATGCGTGACTGAAACCCTTCTGGAGGAACGTCGGCTGATAAACTTATTGGACTGTTAATGGGATGAGGAGAGTCATTTTCTGGACGACGGACGACACACTCGAGTAAACCATCAGTTCTTTCATTACAATTTGAAGCAAACCTCTTTTTAAAAAGCAGGATTATTTGAACGCGTTTATTACGGTTGAATTAATGCCGTTATTTCGATTTTTCAAAACAAATTAAATTTTTAATTTCGATGTTCAGTTAAAGGACCGTTTGAACGTTACATTTTCCATTTTATAGTCATTTTCTCAATATTAAATGACTAAGAAGCGACTGCAGACTCAGCATGTGGAATGAAGCGTTCTTTAAAACGTGAATAAAACTATTATATACTATATTTGAGTTGTTATTGAACATGGCGAACACACTGGAGAGGGAGATTCTGGAGCGGGAGCTGCGTCCGCGGCTGTGCTATCTAACGAAAGGAGATCGCGGTTACGGATTTCATCTTCACGGTGAACGGAACCCGAGGAGCACAATACATCCGCAAGATCGAGCCGGGCTCCCCCGCTGACCTGTCCGGCCTGAGGTCTGGCGACCGGGTGGTGGAGGTGAACGGAGAAAACGTGGAGGGAGAGACCCATCACCAGGTAAGCGGAGAGGAGAACCTGTTGGACCACTTCACCTGCTGCAGGGACGCGTCACAAACCCTAGCGAGCTGCCTAACAAGACAACATTTTTGTCCATTATACTGTATGATTCATTTAAACTTTCCAAGTCTTCTGATCCAGATAGGGCACCTAAAAATGAAAATTTTCATTTCACGTTTTGGACTCATTCCAAACGTTTTTTTTTCTGAAAACTTGTAGCCATTGTAACCATGGTTACAGGTTTCATCTGTTTTCAAAATATATCTTCTTTTAAGATCAACAAATTAAAGTCAAACAGCTTTGGAACAAGTGAAGGGCTAAAATTGTGACTGAAATTTCATTTTTGGTGTGAACTATCCCTTTAAATGTGTGTTTCTCACGCAGGCATGATACCCACTATGCTGTCTAGATAGGAATCTGACTATGTTTTGAGCCACAGCCTCAGAGTCAGCAAGTGTGCTGTATTCTACGGAGGTGACAATGTTAATGTATATTTGTTCAAGATTGTATCCTTGTGTGCTGATGTTAAGAAAACACTGCAGTCTCGGCTGCAACGAAACTTCCCCTCCACCCTTACAAACATTTACCATGGTAACTATAGTTACTACTGTTAAACCATTTCAAATAATTTGGGACCGACCTAAAACAGAGAAATTTGTTTTACATGTTGTATTTTATGTAATTTTTATTAAGTGAAAGTGGGTGACACCACCATCGTATAGTACATGTGTAGTCTGAAAGGTCTAATGGTATTGAATGACATGGCCCATGGCATTATATGATATGAAGTCTTTAAAGGGACATCTTGATTAGAAAGGGAGGGGAAAATGATACTTTTGTGCTTTTGGGTCAAAGTCTCTTTTAGGGATATCTGGTCTAGTTTAAATATATATTCTAACTCTGAATTTGTTTGCCAAACCTTTGTGTTCAAACTTTAAAAAAAACATACACACAAAATGTTTTTATTCCTTAAGACACTTTTTAGTTGATCGGAAAAAGTAGCATTCATTCAGATGTTCTCACATTACATATCGCATTACTACAAGACTACAAAACTCTCAAGATTTCCTGCAAAACTTATACATTTGTCAAAGAAACTATTACTCTTTAAAATGTGAGATTTCAGGTAAAACGTCAGCTTTTAGCTTTCAAAATATTTGTATTTTTCTGGAAAACTTTGCAAAAATTGCATTCCTGTAAAAAAAAAATTGTATGCTACTGAGTAGCATTGCTCTCTCACACATCTTTTTAGGCTTCTTGCAAAACTATTGTATTCCATTGAAAAATGTTTGCAATTCCCTTAGAAACTTTGTAAAACATTTATTGCAACATTTTTTTTCTGACAAAAATGTAAAAATTTTGATATTTTTGTTATTCGCTATTTGTCCATATTATTAATATTTTTCATTATTTAATTCATTCATTTTCTTGTCGGCTTAGTCCCTTTATTAATCCGGGGTCGCCACAGCGGAATGAACCGCCAACCTATCCAGCAAGTTTTTACGCAGCGGATGCCCTTCCAGCCGCTACCCATCTCTGGGAAACATCCACACACACATTCATACACTACGGACAATTTAGCCTACCCAATTCACCTGTACCGCATATCTTTGGACTGTGGGGGAAACCGGAGCACCCGGAGGAAAAGCACGCAAAGGCAGGGAGAACATGCAAACTCCACACAGAAACGCCAACTGAGCCGAGGTTCGAACCAGCGACCCAGCGACCTTCTTGCTGTGAGGCGTCAGCACTACCTACTGCGCCATTATTTAATTTTATTTTAAAAAAATTATAACATTATTGCATCTCCCTGATTGAGACGAACAGTTTAAATGCTATAAATGTAGTGAATTTATACCTTAGTGTTTTTGAACTCAATTTATATATAATTAAGTCTTTTATATTATGCTCTGTTGTTTATATTGGGGTGTCACAAAATACATAGTTTACATTAATATTTCTTCAGAATTGATGTGACCGCAATATTACACACCATTACATGGATGCAGACAGAAACACAAATAACAGCATCGAAAGTTGCGATCATGACAGTAAAATGTTTACATTTATGTAGTGATATTTTATGTTGGACCTGTAATCATTTGTTTTTGAAAGTGTTTATTAATCCATTACTATTTATTCAATATTTTCACATTCTTAATCCTGAAGATGAAGTGATAAAGTGAGAAATATGATCAAATGTGAATAAGTACACTTTAAAATAAAAAAAGTCTATTACATGTCACCAAAATACAGAAATTATTAAATGAATTCATTTTTCAGAAATGACACTATATTGTGATATATATCACTATCAAGAAATCAAATTACTTAGATAGTGGCTCAGCAGTTAGCACTGTCACCTCACAGCAAGATGGTCGCTGGTTCGAGTCCCAGCTGGATCAGTTGGCATTTCTGTGTGGAGTTTGCATGTTCTCCTCGTGTTGGCATGGGTTTCCTTCGGAGGCTACGGTTTCCCCCACAGTCCAAACACATGAGCTATAGGCGAATTGGGCATGCTAAAATTGACCGTAGTGAATGATTGTGTGTGTGTGTGTGTGAAAGAGTGTGTATGTTTCCCAGTACTGGATTGCAGCTGGAAGGGTATCTGCTGCGTAAAATTTATGTCAAAATAGTTGTCGGTTCATTCCGCTTTGGTGACCCCTGAAAAATAAGTGACTAAACCGAAAGAAAAATGAATGATGAGATTATGAGAACATGTACTTTCATCTGCAGAACTTCCACACTCTCCTAAAATACTTTGAATATTTTGCATAATTATTCCTCCCATTTTTTTGCATCTTGATGTGTCATGCGGAGCTCTGTAATACAATACTCAAAGTACACCACCACACTGGGTTTATACACTCACAGTAGCATATCCAGAAAGCTGGGCAGCGTGTGCTCAGTTTAAGTAAGCACTTCTCTGTGTGTGTGTGTGTGTGTGTCAGGTTGTTCAGAGGGTCCTGGAGGTGGAGCACCGCACCCGGCTGCTGGTGGTGGACCGGGTCACCGATGAGTTCCTGAAGTTTCACGGTCTGCCATGCACGGAGGAAAGAGCGATAGAGATGGGCTCTCTGTCGTCTCGCTCCTCTGCGGCATCTTCTCCTCGGGGTCCTGCTACACCTCCTCCATACAGCAGACAGAGCTCAGAGGCCATCTTCATTAATAAGGTGAGGCCGGCTGCGACAATATGACAAAAAAATCTCATATAGAAAATCTCATCCTGATGTGGAACTGAGCCATGAGATGCTCGCTGGTTTTAGGATTTACAAAACTTATTTACTTTAGTGGACAATAGTGTCTCTTTCTCTGTTTATGTTCTTCTTTCTCTATGAGAGGAAGTCTAGGAGGATATCCAGTCCAGAAAGGAGGAGCTCTGTGCTATATTTAGATCACACTGTATGAAGAATAGTGCTGAGAATCTAGAATGGCTCTCTAATCACTGCATTCGGTAGCACTTTATTTTGATGATCCATTTGAGCATTAGTAGACTGTCTGCTTAATATCTGCTGATACTGCTCCTTCAACAGACATTTAACTGACTATAAAAAACTTTGCAAGTACATGTCAACTTACACTAACCCTAACCTCACCCTAACAGTCTACTTATAATCTAATGAGAATTAGTTGCAATGTAACTTAAATTCAACAAACGGACCATCAAAATAAAGTGTGACCCTGCATTTTTGTGATATAATTAAATAATGCATCATAAAAAACACATCTTTTTAGTGCATTGTGCTGTGTGTGAACAAAAATACAGTGCATTACACAGTGAATTGTATTAAAGTGCAATTTGTTTACGTGTTAAATATAGTATATTTCACCCATATTGGAGGCGGGTCACTTTAGATTCTAGAGAGCATTTGATTTGTCAGAAAACCTGACGAGAATTTGAAGTGCAGAGTGATGTCATCAAAGGAGCTGAATTAATTTTGGAGGAAGACTATAGATTTTAAATGCATATTGTGAATAGTTTCATTGTTTCGGTGTACACGTCTGCATCACTTAATTCCAGTCACCTCACTGTAAAGTGCTCTGTCGGTCCCTGGATAGAAGCTAGTCAAATTAGGCATTTGAACACGAGCAAGTAACATCTTTGAAACATCTTTGAAAACCAAAACTATGCAAAGCAGGGTTATTAATAACTAACTGTAAAGACATATTTTTGTTACTTGAAATAAATAAATAAATAAATATAATTATTCAAACTATATCCCAAGGCAACATTTCTGATTTAAGTTACTAACTATTCTTATTCAGTTTAACCTAAATGAGTTACTAAACTAAAGAGATTCAATAAAAATGTGAAAAAAACACTTTAGTAAAACTAATGGTTTACCTTGACTAAAATAATTTTTAAAAATATAATGATTTTTAATTGATTTCCGAAAACATTATAGTTTGCCTATGCATTCTACAATAACACAGATGCAACATAAAGCGAACATTTGAAGCAAATAATAAATAATATCCACCATAGTCTGAATTATTACTAGGAGTACAAAACTGTGCAGATGTCTTTCATTCATTCACTCATTCATTTTCCTTCGGCTTAGTCTCTGATTTTTCAGAGGTCACCACAGCGGAATGAACCACCAACTATTCCAGCATATGTTTTACACCGCGGATGCCCTTCCAGCCAACCGGGAAACACTTATGCACACTCATACACTACGGCCAATTTAGTTAATCCGATTCTCCTATAGTGCATGTGTTTAGACCAGGGGTGTCAAACTCAATTCCTGGAGGGCCGAAGCCCTGCACAGTTTAGTTCCAACCCTGCTCCAACACTCTTACCTGTAGGTTTCAAACAACCCTGAAGCACTCAATTAGTTTGATCAGGTGTGTTTAATTAGGGTTGGAACTAAACTGTGCAGAGCTGCGGCCCTTTTGGAACTGAGTTTGACACCTGTGGTTTAGACTGTGGGGGAAACCGGAGCACCCGGAGGAAACCCACGCCAACACAGAGAGAACATGCAAACTCCACACAGAAATGCCAATGCAAATGATTGTTAATAATTATGCATATTGTTATTATATGTGCAGACTAGGATTACTGTGATACAATTAAAATTTGATGTTGAGAAGGATCAGGTGCCAGTTACATACACTTTTACACCTCCGTTCATCAACTTAAACTAATGTTAAAACTGTTTAGTTTGACCAATGTATTCAGATTGCACTAATCTGCCTTTCTATGACTAGACTCTAAAAATGTTATGACCAGTCTTGATTTAAAAGTTAGATGAGTACATTTAAAGACTAAGTCTAAGCAGATTATGCAACTGATCTTTGATTTGCGCCACTGTGAAGCCAACCTTGGCCAGGATTGTGTGCTATAAAAAACTACGGTTACTTATAGACACTTCATTCATTTTCTTTTCAGCTTAGTCCCTTTATTAATCAGGGGTCACCACAGCAGAATGAACCGCCAACCTATTCAGCACATGTTTTACACAGCGGATGCCCTTCCAACTGCAACCCATCACTGGAAAACACTCTGATTTACACACATACACTATGGACAATTTAGCTTGTTCAATTCCCCTATAGCACATGTGTTTGGACAGTGGGGGAAACCGGAGCATCCGGAGGAAACCCACGTGAACAGGGAAAACATGCAAACAAAAACGCCAACTGACCCAGCCGGGACTCAAACCAGCGACCTTCTTGCTGTCAACCATTCATTCAACCGCGCCACCCTATATTTAGACACTTGCAGTATATATTATAAATGATTTATTGTGTTCCATTGTAATCTTTAATAATAACAACTTCCCCTTCAACATGATCTCTTCTGTGATTGGTTTTTACTAGCACATGGGCGGAATCATTCACATAAGATTAACCAATAGCAAGCCTCAACCCCTCAAATTCCAAATACATTTGTTTGTTTTTCCAAAACCCATTTCACTCTCATTCAGTCTTTCACAATAAACTATTTCACAAATAAAAGACTTTCCCCGTCTTCCTCTAGAGTTGTTAATAAGCTCTTTACAGAGCTCCAGGTCAGCAGAGGTGTGTTGACACCTGTCCAGGTAGCAGGCGGATTCAAGATCAGCTCACAGCAAGAGTCTTATAAGCCCCGTAATCCCGCCAGCTTCAGGAATGCTATTGTTTATTTTTAACTGCAGCGTGTTTCAAACCAACAACCATTTTAAGATCTGTTTACACCTGGTATTAAAATGGATGACAGTACAGGTGTCTAAAACGTGTCCACTTTGGAGCACTTCCAATTATAGTCGAAAATACATTTAATTGAATTGATTTTGTGGCGTAAATATGGTCAAATGTATTCAAACTGAATGTTTTAGGGGTATGGAACGTCACAAGGATGAGTAATCAGTGACAGAATTAAAAGTTTTGGGTGAATTAACCCTTTATCAATAAATACTTAAAAGGCAGAGTATCACGGTTTATATCAATCATTCATTCATTTTCTTTTCAGCTTAGTCCCTTTATTAATCTGGGGTCGCCACAGCGGAATTAACCGCCAACTTATCCAGCATTTGTTTTACGCAGCGGATGCCCTTCCAGCCACAACCCATCACTGGGAAACCCAAACTCATTCACACTCATACACTATGGACAATTTAGCCTACCCAATTTACCTATACTGCATGTCTTTGACTGTGGTGGAAACCAGAGCACCCGGAGGAAACCCACGCAAATGCAGGGAGAACATGCAAACTCCACACAGAAAAGGCCAACTGACCTAGCCGAAGCTTGAACCAGTGACTTTCTTGCTGCGAGGCAACAGCACTACCTACTGCGCCACTGTGTCGCCCGGTTTATACCAAAATTTATTAATTGACTTATTGCTTTGTACAGTTTATCACAATTCTATCAGCAATGCAGTGAAGTCTAAACTATCATTAAATTGCTAGTTTGATGGTTTAACGATGTCCATTTTGGAGAATTTCCAATTGTAGTCGCAAATGCATTTAATCGGGTTCAGTTTGTAGCATAAATATGGTCAAATGTATTCAAACAGCCACAAAACAGCACCGGCTAACTGAACAATTGAGATGTGACAATGGAACTCAACTCAAAAGTGAGAAAAGTTTATAATAAGATTAAAATCTTCTGTAAAAAGTGAATAAAAACATTATAAGTAAATGAAAAGATGTCTTTTATTAGACTTTTGCTGCATTTTTCTTTTTGAAATGTATATAAAACTATAATTAAAGCTTTAAAACAAATCACAAGTCAAATAAGTTACACAAAGTGACGCTCTCGAGATGTTCAAAGTCCAGAATAGGTACCAAATACATTGTCAAAACATTCCATGTGTCTTCAGTGATTCGACTGTAATCATACAAAGGTGCAAGAACACTTTTGAGCACCAATAAAGAATAAAAATGACTTTGTTCACCAATGTTTTCTTTTTAATTTCTGATCAGGACGCACATTTACTATGGACAGTACGATGTATTGACATTAGACTCAGGAAGTGTCATATAGTAAACTCGCACCCTCACCTGATGTAAAAGAAAAAGGTAAAAGGCACAAAGGTGTTCTTGGAGTTTCATATGCTTACAGCTGAATCACTGAAGTCAAATGTTTTTGGCTCTTTTCTGGACTTCAAACATCCCTTGCTGTCTATGGAGGATGAGGGAGCTCTCCGACTTCATTTAAAACATGGTAATTTGTGGTCTGAATATAAATGAATCTCATTAGATTGAAACAACATGAGGGTGAGTGATTAATGACTGAATTTTCATTTTTGGGTGAACTAACCCTAGAAGTCTTCACTGCCACGTGATCCTTCAGAAATTACTTAAAGAATTGAAAGTATTAATTATCATTTTACCCAAAACTTTTAAATGGCAAAGTATTACGATTTCCACCACAAGTCATTATTTAATTTATCTACTGTTTTATACAGATCATTATAGTTCTACCAGTAATGCAGTGAAGCCAAACACATCATCAAAAGGCTAGTTTGACTGCTTTGGCTCATTTAAATGATGAGGAGTTTGGCCAACAACAGTTTTAAAGCAGCTTCTACAAACACCTTGTTTTTACATAGAACAAAACAGATGCTTGGTTTTTTAGGTTGTGATTCAATGAAGAGGATTAGATGATCATCTGAATTGCTGCATTATTGAATGTCAATGGTTAAAATAAGCTGTTACCTGGTTAACAGTAAGCTTTATTTATATATGCTGTAATATATGACTGACTTTTCCAGAATTCCCTTCATGACACCTTACTTTATATGCTTTTTATTGACATTACTTTGCGTCTTTTTAGATTTTTTTCTTATCTGTGATGTACTTTAGAGTTTTATATTACATCTAATGTTGATCAATAATGTTTACTGTGTTGCTTTAGTGTTTTAGTAGTTGTGTGAATAACACTAAGCTCCTTATATATATTGGTGTATTTCTCTGCTTGTGGATAAGCTGCTTGACCATTAGTTCATCATATGACTTTCTCGTCGCCAAATGCTAATAGTTGCTTTTTTGTCTGTGTAACAAAGGGTACAATGTGTAAATGCTAGTGCTTTAAAACACTGGTTTATAATACCTTAAATTAATTAAATACAGCAGTTTATATTAAAAGTTTAATTTTTTCATAGTTTTTACATTATTTTAAACTGCAAAGTTTGAACAATCACTGCTGCCAGTTTTACCGTAAACTTTACAGATTTTCTAATAGTGTATTGGTGTTTTGTTCATAGAGTCCGAGCAGCACCGGAGGAGTGATGAACGGCTCACCGCTTTACAGAGCTCATGCCCGGCTGACATCACCTGTGCTTCTGTCTCCACCGTCACCCAAGACTCAAGCCGAGACTGAGCCCTTCAACCAACTCAACGACAAAACCAGCATCACATCTGACACTGAGTCATTCACCAAACTCACCGACGAAACCAGCATCATGTTTGAGATCGAGTCTTTCAACAAACACAACACTGAATCCAGCATCACTCCTGAGTCTGAGCCCGAACCCTTCACCAAACTCAGAGAAGAAACTAGAGTTATCCATGAGCACGAGCCCTTCACCAAACTCACAGAAGAAACTAGAGTTATACAAGAGCCCGAGCCCTTCACCAAACTCACAGAAGAAACTAGAGTTATGCATGAGTCCGAGCCCTTCACCAAACTCAGAGAAGAAACTAGGGTTATACAAGAGCCCGAGCCCTTCACCAAACTCACTGAAGAAACCAGGGTTATACGTGACCCCAAGGCCTTCACCAAACTCAACATTGAAAGCAGCGATACCAAACACAAGGCTGAAAGCGTCCGTGAGCTAAGCACTGACCTCAGCAGATCACAGACCAGCACACAGGTACATCACACACATCTGTGAAGTGTGCATGTGTGATTTTTTTTGCATTGTGCGGAGCAAATGTCCCTACAAGTACAGCACTACCAGTATATTATGACCTTGTGGGGACATTTTTTAGTCTTCATAAGGAAAACGGCTCATAAACCACATAGAATGGAGTATTTTGAATAGTAAAAATGCAGATTGTTTCCTGTGAGGGTTGGGTTTAGGGGTGGGGGGTTAGAATATACAGGCTTTACAGTATTGACCTTATTGTTGACATACAAGCGGGGCACACCATTGGAATCTTTTTGGCTCAAGACTTCAGGTCTCATTCATTCCATTGATATTTAGACGTCAAAAACAGCTCGTTATGATGCAAGCTGATATTTTCTTATTATGTTATTTTACTTCTTCTGTAGAGTCACAAACACACTTGTTTGTAGAGCAAGTAGTTTAACGGTATAATATTCCTAGTCATTTCTCCCATGATTAACTGAATCGGAAGTTTTAAATGAAATAAGCACACCTCCGCATTGTAGACTAAGGTCAATAAAAATCATTAGGTCTATGGGGAGTCCCCGTAAAGATAGCTGTACAAGTGTGTGTGTAAGCAGCAGTGTTGTTATTATGGGGTTAGTGTAGTTTTATGAAACTGATGGATTAATTTTCTTTAAGCAAGTCATTTTCCATGCACTCAGTCAAAGTCACTTTAAGGCAAGTCATTTCACTCGGTGGCCATCTTTGAAACGCCTCTCTAGCAGTGTGCTCGGCCATTCTATCTGAATGGGGAATCATCAAATTCTCCAAATCTGTCTACCAAGCTTACGATTACATTACATATTTGGAATGACTGATAAATTTAAACAACTGTCTTTTATGTTTCATTTCTAAATGTCTAAATCAAACACAATCAGCATGTTTTCAGGCTGAACTTGGTCTTGATAGTGAATCTCCTCCAGAAATGACAGTGACTCTTTGTTTAGTAGTTTGAGGGGGTTTGATGAGTTGCTGCTGTCATGTGATGTGCGTTTGACAGGATGGACCGTACCTCGCGTTCATTTCACACAGATTACAAAACCGGAAAACTTTTCTTTTCAAGTTGGTTCATTTAATTGTAGTTTGTTAATTAAAAAGGGTTAGGGTTTTTCAAGAGATTTCAAGCTTTATGTGGATATAGTTCTTATGTCTGTGAAGCAAGTATTCGCTGAGACTTAAGTGTGTTTGTTGATCACCAAACTGCTGTAAAAGCACACAGCTGGTGTGAGCTGATCCCCTGGAGAATCGTCAGTCTATATCAATCAATGATTGGCTCCTGTACTAATAGGCGGGGCTTCATTCAAAATTATACGAGTGACACGTCTTGTGCATTCTGTGTTCTTTGAGTCTCTTGCATATTCTATAGAGTTTCACTCAGTATTAGTGTTGCTCGTTCTAGAATTGTGGGTACATTTCTAGATTTTTCCATTCATTTCCCTTAAAGTGTGATGATATATTACAAATGTATAATTTCCAGTAAAATGAATCTATTATTAATGTTTATAAATGCTTAAATATGTTGGGCAACATCTGATTCTGCTACTAATTGTTGTTTGACTTATTGTTGAACTTTTTAAACTACTAGCAGAGTTGAAATTTTGCACCATTTTGGAGAGGGATCTTGCTGCAGACAGATGCGATCTGAGCTGCATGTAATGCTTTTGAATGGGCTAGCTGCATCCAGATACTGTTGCCATTTTCTGCTTTGAAACACTTATCAGAAATTTAAATGTGTAAAGGGCAGCACGGTGTCTTAGTGATTAGTACTGTCACCTCACAGCAAGAAGGTCGCTGGTTCGAGTCCCGGCTGGGTCTGTTTTGCATTTCTGTGCAGAGTAGGGTTGAACGGTTTACCAGTACTATGGTGGTCTCGCGATACTATGGCTCCAAAATACTGGCGGTGCCACTGTAGTTTATAAACGGTAGTATCATCAGTAACGGTCGATATACAATAGATAATGTTGGATGTGGAAAAGTCAATTCCTTTGCATGAGGAAGAGTTTGCATGTTCTCCCCGTGTTGGCATGGGTTTCCAACCACATGCATGAATAAGCTAAATTGTCTGTAGTGTATGAGATGAGTGTGTGTGAATAAGTGTGTATGGGTGTTTCCTAGTATTAGGTTGTGGTTGAAAGGCATCTGCTGCGTAAAACATATGCTGGAATAGTTGGCGGTTCATTCCACTGTGGTGACCTCTGATAAATAAGGGACTCGGCTGAAGGAAAATGAATGAATGAATGCTGTCACTTTTGATCAGCTCAGTGCATCCCTTTAAAATCTTACTAATGCCAAACTACACCACATATAGAGGCCTTAAAGGTACAGTAGCAAAATCGGTAACACTTTACAACAAGATTCATTAGTTAATGCATTTACTAACATGAACTAATCATGAACAACACATGAACAGCACTTATTAACCATAATTGAACATTTACTAATGCATTATTAACATCCAAGTCCATGCTTGTTAACATTAGTTAATGCACCATGAGTTAACATGAACTAACAATGAACAACTGTATTTTCCTTAACTAACGTTACCTAACATGAACAAATACAGTAGTAGATGTATTGTTCATTGTTTGTTCATGTTAGTAAATGCATTAATTAACATTAACTAATGAACCTTATTGTAAAGTGTGACTGCAAAATCCACCTGCTTATCAAGCTTATGTTGCATGCATGAAGCCTTGACTTGCATTATATACATTATGTGCTTTATAACATGAAGATAAGGAAGGAAACACACACTTTCATGTTTAGCAGTGTGTGTGTGAACCTGCAGTCATGCCATGAAAGCAGACGTGAGCCCTTTAAATGAAGCTACATTTCCATTTCTCTGTGTCTCTCCGTGTGTCTTCATTCATTCGCAGTCCTCGTTCTCTCTCTCTCTCTCTCTGACCTTAATTCTCATTTGCCTGCTTTCTGTTCACACTCTAGTCCAGGGTGTCGGATTTCTGGGTATTCTCCCAGAATTCAGTGAGAGTGTTGTTTTCTGTGTGTGTGTGTGTGTAGGATTAAATTAAGCATCGTCTCAGCCTCAGGAGGTGGAGTGTGTGAGTGCGTGAGAGAGAGAGAGAGAGTGTGTGATTGAGTGCATGTATGTGTGTGCATTAGTGTGTGTGTGTGAAAGTGAGTGTGCGTGTGTGTGTGTGTGTGTTTATATGTGTAATTTGTGTGAGTGTGTGTGCATCTGTGGATGTGTGTGTAAGTGCTTGTGTGTGTACGTGTGCATCGCGAGTGTGACTGTGTGTGCTTGTGTGAATGTGTTCGTGTAATGTGTGTGTGAGAGAGAGAAAATGAGTGTGTATGAGTGAGTTTGTGTGCGTGAATGTGAGTGAGTGTTTGTGTATATTGTGTATGTGCATGTGTTTGTGTAATGTGCCTCCATGTGTGTGTGAGAAAATGAGTGCGTGCGTGTGTGTGTGTTTGCATGTGTGTGAATAAGTGGTTGTATGTCTGTGAATGAATGTCTGTGTGTGTGTATGTGTGTGTGTGTGTAATATGCATTAATGTGCGTGTGTGTGAGTAAATGAGTGAGTGTGTTTGTGTAATCTGCAAGCGTGTGTGTGTGTTTGTGTAACCTGCATGCATATGTATGTGTGTATTTGTGTAATCTACATGCGTGCGTGTGTGTGTGTAATCTGTATGAATATGTGTGTATGTTTGTGTGTGTGTGTGTAAGGCGAGGTTCTTCAGTCACTCAATCCCATGGGAAACAAACAGACACCACCCTTGCATTGTCTTAGAACAGGAAGTGACATGGTGTCTCGCAGAATGTCCCTTATTCCTGCTGGGCGTGTTTTGGCTTCTTGAAGGAAATAAGCCAATGGTCACGAACACTCGCTCGCTCGCACGTCCTCGTGTTCGGCCCCGGGTCAGCCATAAATCACATTATACAGCATATCATATCAGACCTGTGCTTTCAGCTGGCCTTCAAGTCAGTGTGTTCCTGTAGTTTGTGTGTTCTTGTTAGCAGAATGTACAATATTGATGGGCATTTCTTTTGCTGTATGTTGACTATGGTGGCATGGTTTGAGTCCCGGCTGGGTCAGTTGTTGGCAGTTCTGTGTGGAGTTTGCATGTTCTCGCCGTGTTAGCGTGGGTTTCCTCCAGGTGATCCGGTTTCCCCCACAGTACAAACACATGCGCTATAGGTGAATTGGATAAACTTAATTGGCCGTAATGTTTTAAGTATGTGTGTGAATGTGAGTGTATGGGTGTTTCTCATTACTGGGTTGCAGCTGGAAGGGCATCCACTGTGTAAAACATGCTGAAATGGTTGGCGGTTCATTCCGCTGTGTCGACCTTTAAAATAAAAACTAAGCCAAAGGAAAATTAATTAATTAATTAATTAATGTAGCTAATTAATATTACTGAGTAGTGAAAGTAACACTGAAACAACCCAGTATGAGCATAGACTTGAAATCTAAATGCTTTTGGCTTGATTAGGAAATTTATTTATTGGATTAAAGGGATAGTTCACCTAAAATATCAGAGAGTGAAAATCAATAGTTTTAAGACTCTTTCCAAACATTTTAAGGCCTTACCGCCACTTTAGGTTTCAACCAGTAAGATTGGCGACATTTTAGCTTATAGTATGTTTACTAAATACTGACTGTAAGAAACTAATCCTAAACAAAAACATCATTCATATACATTCATACACTAAAAAAATACTAATCCAGCAGGAATAACAGCAGAAATAATGGCAGTAAACAATGCAGCTTTATGTCGGGTCTAGCAGGATTTTATTTAGATATTTGCAGATTGAATTCATACAACTATACACTGTACAATCAGAAATGATACAAAATTTAATATCATGTTAAATATCATTTACTTTTAGTACTTTAGGTAAATTTCTCTAAAGTGATTTATCAGATTTTAATACTTTTTAAGACCCTGCGGACACCCTGCATAGTATTTGTTATTCCTACTATGGAATGGTTACACATATCTAGCATTTTTCACAACATCTATAAAAATCAAACAGGTTTGGAACAAGTCAAGGGTGAGTAAATAACAGAATTTTAATTTTTTAGGTGAATTACCCCTTAAATAAGCAAATCTGCTCTTTCTGAAATCTAATTTTAGAGCTAAAGCCATCATTTTTCCTGATTTTAAAGCTGTATCTTAACCTCGTGCTCTGTCTGTCTCCAGGAGTCTTCAGAAGCGGTGACAAAGGACCTGCGTCCGCGACTGTGTCACATGACCTTAAGCGAGCAGGGCTATGGTTTTAACCTGCACTGTAAGAAGTCACGCGCGGGTCAGTTCATCCGCTCGGTGGACCCTGACTCTCCAGCGGAGCATGCAGGCCTGAGGCCCCGGGACCGGCTCATCGAGGTGAGATTATCTCCATCAGCCCAGATTAGCAGATTACACTCCACTTCTGAGAGCGAGTGATTACGCAATTCAACAGAGACGTTTGTTTGCTGTCAAGTCGTCCTCTTTGTGAAGGGAGGATCCTGTTTTAGAGCAGCCAGTTTGTTTGCTTTCCTTTAAGTGTGTGTGTGTGTGTGTGTGTGTGTGTGCGTGGTGTGTGTGCGTGAGAGACCCATCAAATCCGTCTTAATAGGCTTAATTTGCATCCGTTTTCTGTAATTGTCACAGACAGATCAGTAATTATGACTGACGAGCAGTGTGTAATCCAGTTTGTCTCTAAATCAATATAATTAGCAAATAGGATTAATTGTCATTTGTTTTTTTGGACACCTGTAACAATAGTTTTTTTTAAATAATACTGGTGCTGAATAAGTACTTTTAAAATAATACTGGTGCCAAATCCATGCCTTTTAAATAATGTTCATTCCAAATCTGCTAAATCAATAGTTTTAAAATGATACTGGTCCCAAATTAATACTTTTAAAATGATACTGGTGCTAAATCAATACTTTTAAAATGATACTGGTGCTAAATCAATACTTTTAAAATGATACTGGTGCCAAATCGATAATTTTAAATTGATACTGGTACCAAATCAATACTTTTAAAACTATAAAAAAAACTATTTTTGATGGCAAATTGATACTTTAAAAAAGATACTGGTACAAAATTTGCCAAATCTATGCTTTTAAAATGATACTGGTGCCCAAACGATACTTTCAAAATGATGCTGGTGGTAAATTGATACATTAAAACAATACTGGTGCCAAATTGATACTTTTAAAATGATACTGGTGCCAAAATCGACACTTTTAAAATGATACTGGTACCAAATCTGTCAAATCGATACTTTTAAAATGACACTGGTGCCAAATCTATACTTTTAAACAATACTGGTGCCAAATTGATACTTTAAAACAATACTGGTGCCAAATTGATACTTTCAAAATGATACTAGTGCCAAATCTGCCAAATCGATACTTTTAAATTGATACTGGTACAAAATTGATACTTAAAAAAAAATACTAGTGCCAAATCGATATTTTTAAAATCATACTGGTGCCAAATCAATGCTTTTAAAATCATACTAGTGCCAAATCAATGCTTTTAAAATCATACTGGTGCCAAATCAATGCTTTTAAAATCCTACTAGTGCCAAATCAATGCTTTTAAAATCATACTAGTGCCAAATCAATGCTTTTAAAATCATACTGGTGCCAAATCAATGCTTTTAAAATCATACTAGTGCCAAATCAATGCTTTTAAAATCATACTAGTGCCAAATCAATGCTTTTAAAATCATACTGGTGCCAAATCAATGCTTTTAAAATCATACTAGTGCCAAATCAATGCTTTTAAAATCATACTGGTGCCAAATCAATGCTTTTAAAATCATACTAGTGCCAAATCAATGCTTTTAAAATCATACTAGTGCCAAAGCGATACTTTTAAATGATACTGGTGTTAAATCAATACTTTTAAAACTATACTGATGCCAAATCAATACTTTACTATACAATATAACTATGCTAGTGCCAAGTTAGTACTTTTAAAACTACACTGGTGCCAAATCAATACTTTTAAACTATTCTGGTGCCAAATCAATACTTTTAAAACCATACTAGTACCAAATCGATACTTTTAAATGATATTGGTGCCAAATCAATACTTTTAAATGATTCTGGTGCCAAATCAAGGAAAATAAATTGAATGTCTTTGCTTCCATTTCTATCCTTTTGCCAAGATAGGAAATTACAGTAATTTAATTTTGGTCTTGGGGAAACCATGCCAATACTAAAAGAAACAGCATCTGTCATAATGTGAGGAAGTGCATTTATGTAAATATGTAAATATTTAAGTAAATATGTAATTTTCTACACTAGCAAAGTACTGGAAGAGTGCTTGAAAGGTGCTTAAATTTGACTTTGAAAAAGAAAGTCTTTAGGAATAGCATAATGTAGAAATTAAATAAAAAGAGAGAAAAAAACTGATTTTAGGTTGTGGGCTGTGAATGGGATTCCTCAGAAGTTTAATAATGGCCTGGCCGTGACGCGCTGCACGTTTGTCTGCTTTCTTAGAAAGCCTCTGTTGTGCTTTTTATTATTTTGCCATAAAATCGCCCTTCCTCCTGGATAAAAACAATAGACTTTCACATGCATTACATCAGTCTGAAAAGCACAGGAACACACAAACACACCCCAAACTGTTTTATCAGACCGAGACAGCAGAAGAAACCCAGAAAACATGACAGATGAAAGTTTCTGGGTTATGTAAGGCTTCTTCAAAGACAGGAAGAGGAAGAGGAAGTTTTACAAAAAGGAGGAAGCAACATCGACTCACACTCCACCTGCTGGACAAACGCTGACCAACAAAGATGTGTTGCATGTAGTAAAATAACCATTATAATTATTATATTAAAGTTAATTGTATTAAATATAAAACTAATCTATATTTTAATGCAAAACATATTAAATGTACATTGCTATTGTAATTTAGGCTACTGAAAAATAATATATTTAAATATATTAAATAATATTACATAACTAATAGTGTAATATGGAAAGTATATGTATGTTAGTGCACTATAATTCGGTTGGGTTAATGCAATCTTTTACTTTATTGTGCAATATAAAATATATTTACGCATTGTAATAAATAATAAAAATAATCAATAGTGTAATAATAATAAACCATATCAGGACAACTGGTCAGTGCATGTTGTGTTTGTGATGGAATTTTATCTAGATATGCATAGGTAATATTATAAGAATATTTGACGACCTAGTATATACATATTGATAAAAGTATAATTAATATATGTTCGGATAAACTTTAATATAGAACAAATATATTTAGTGAACTGTATTATAATATGTTTCAATTATAATATAATAAATAACATGTTTAATGAAGTTATAGCATTTGGGAACAGAGATGAGGTTCTCAAGATGAATGCGTACCTTGGCACTAAGGGTCAAACAACAAAAAATGAGGTCAAGAATCTTGGTGTGACTCTGGAGTCAGATCTGAGTTTTAATAGTCATGTCAAAGCAGTTGATGAGCAGTGTGTGTGCAGGTGAACGGCTGCAGTATCGAGGGTCTGCGTCACGCTGAGGTGGTGGCACTGGTCAGAGCCGGTGGAAAAGAGACGTGTCTGCTGGTGGTGGATCCGGACACTGATGAACTCTTCAGCCGACTGGGCATTACTCCTACATCTACTCATCTTAAAGGTGCAGTGCGCGCTTTTACATACACCACCATATGCAGTATGTATCTAAAATCTATTTAGTTATAGATATTTAAATTGGTAGTCATTCCAGGAAATAAACAAAAATGGTTATTCGTTCATTTTCCTGCGACTTAGTCCTTGATTTACTAAGGGTCGTCACGGCAGAATGAACCGCCAACTAGGGTTGGGCGATGTTGACCAATTTGGCATCGTATGATGTCTAATGTAAAACAACGCGATGGACGATGCTATTGTTGTCGTAGGCAGGGGGGTGGTAGTTAAATATCAATTAATTCATAACAAATTAATTAATGGGCCAGGCAGTGGCGCATTAGGTAGTGCTGTCGCCTCACAGCAAGAAGGTCGCTGGTTCGAACCTCGGCTCAGTTGGCGTTTCTGTGTGGAGTTTGCATGTTCTCCCTGCCTTCGCGTGGGTTTCCTCCGGGTGCTCCGGTTTCCCCCACAGTCCAAAAGTCCAAAGACAGTCCAAAGACATGCGGTACAGGTGAATTGGGAAGGCTAGGTGTGTGTTTGTGTGTGGATGTTTCCCAGAGATGGGTTGCGGCTGAAAGGGCATCCGCTGCGTAAAAACTTGCTGGATAAGGTGGCGGTTCATTCCGCTGTGGCGACCCCGGATTAATAAAGGGACTAAGCCGACAAGAAAATGAATGAATTAATAAATTAATTGTAGCCTACCGTTTTCACTACCTGACCCACATGGTCTGTGCTTTACCCATAACCAAACCATAAATAAATAAAGTTACAAATGACCACCTGTCAATCACTTTTTTTCTGCGGGACTCTGGCATGAATAGGGCACTGTGATCTGGGTCATTATAATGGCTTTGGAGGAGACGAGACTGTAGTGCATACATTTTCATTGCTTTCACTGCAAAATCCTCACCGCGTGCACGGATTTAGGAGACATTTATGCAGAATGCATCTTTGCACCTAAAAACGCCAACCTCAGCACTCAGGAACATGTGAACTTGCTAAAGTAAAAAAGCCCGCAATGCTTGCCGCCTTTGTGCTCCTTTTTTTTGGCTCACTGCTCTAGAACTGAACGCAAATGATTGGTTAATATCAGCTGTCAATCACTCAGTCAATGCCTTCTGCCTTCAGATGACAGGAGCTACAACCGCAGAAATGTGAAGCGCTGAAGATGAGAGAATGAAAATAACACTGACAGATTTACCTACAGTTACTAATAATGGCACATCTTATTAGTGATCATGTGCTGAATGGGGTGCGTTGCGGACAAATGAGCGTGCAGGGGGGTATGGAGGCGGTGGCTGCGGCGCGAGCTGAAGGGGGGAGGGGTGGTGTGCATGAACTGAAGACTAAAGCCTGATTTATACTTCTGCGTCAAGTGACCGGCGTAACCCACGGCGCAGGCAACGCGCGTGGCTGTGCATTTATACTTCTGCGCGCTGTCTCTGTCGGTCTGCATGAACACTTCCGAAACGCTAGTGGGCAGTGAGGTGTAAATGTTCCTCTGTGTCGAGTTTCTTCTCTGCTTTTTTGCTTTTCCTGAACACTTCCGGGATGTACAAGTGGCTCAAACTCGCTCATTTTGAGGCAGGAACCGGCAGACGTGCAACAACTTTAACTATGAGGTAAACACAAAACAAAACTTTCCATCCGGAGCTCCTTCACGGGACTCCACACTTGTAAACAATCGTTCCATCAGGCTCGCGCCATTCGCGCGGCTCTCGGTCCCGCCCAGACTCGTCAGCGCTACCAAGCCGACCAATCACAGAGCTTACGCTACGCGTCGTTGAGACGTGTAGTTACATTTTTTTAAAAGGTGCACGTCAGTGACGGCGATGGCCACGGCGAAGGGCTATGCGTCAGCGCCGTAGCATACGCCGACGTTTGACGCAGAAGTATAAATCAGCCTTAAGGAGCTGGGGATGTGAAATTTTTAAAGTTTTCCGGGAGACAGAACAAAACCGGAGATTGGTCTGAAATACGGGAGATTCTCGGGAAAAACGGGACTGTTGGCAGGTGTGACGGGGAGAACATGCAAACTCCACACAGAAATGCCAACTGACCCAGCCGAGGCTCAAACCAGCAACCTTCCCGCTGAGAGGCGATTGTACTACCCATTGCGCCACCGTGATGGCTAACACATATTAAAGCAAACAGTTTGCAATTGTTTGTTCTCAATGATAGCAGAGTTTTGGTTCAAATTTTGATACAAAGGTTAAAAAAAATAAACACCCAGCCATCTTTGCTCATATGCCAAGGGTGCTGATATTATGTGACAGCTCAACAGAATGCTCATGTTTCTCTCTGGGAAATTCCCCCAGACTGGACAGCAGTTATTAAAATGCTTTATCTGACTGCTAGCGTGTTCATCATTAGGAAAGTTTATGCAAAACATGGAGGAAGCTCTATGCAAATTAGCATTGCAATCACTGATGCCGCAGCACACCATTTCATAAGCTGCTGGCATGTGGTGTAGTTTCCATCACTGGCATAATTACATATATATATATTTGTAATATTTGACAGAGGACTGTGTGGACGGGCCAATCATAGAGATTCCACCCGTGTCTGCTTCAGCCCGCACCTCTCCACCAATCATCAACATCAGCCTGAAGGATCCACCAATCACAAACGGCTCCCCAAGACACCAGAGTTATAGAAGCTCCTCCTCCAGATCCACTTTATCAGAGACCAGCGCCGAACTCAGCTTTGACACCAGTAACAAAGTGAGTGTGTGTGTGTGTGTGTGTGTGTTTGTGTGTGTGTGTGTGTGTGTGTGTGTGTGTGTGTGTGTGTAAGAGAGAGAGCGGAAATCATAAATCATTAGAGATATGGTTTATTATTTATTGTAAAAATAATTATTGTTGATAATAATAATACAATAATACAGTTATTATTAATACTGATAATAATAATGTTATTATTAATGATAACATAATAATCAAAATAATAACAATAATACCTTCATTATTGTAAAAATTAATTTCAGAA